CAGTTTGTTTTGTTGAAACCAGTTTTGTATTTTCTCAAATTCTTTCTGTACCATCTCAAACATTTTTTTTTCTATATCTTTACCTAAACAAAAAATGTTGTATCATCAGCAAATAAAACACTTGAAAAGTCCTGACACATTTACCAAGTCATTCACATATAAAATAAATAACTTAGGTCCCAGTACAGAGCCTTGAGGGACTCCACATGCGATATTACCAAGTTTAGATTTTACACCATTTATCTGTACAAACTGTTTCCTATCTTTCAAATAACCAGATAACCATTGTAGTACTGATCCTCTAATACCATATTTACTTAATTTTTCAAGAAGAACATTGTGATCAATTGTGTCGAATGCTTTCTTTAAATCTACATAAATACTCACACTCTGTTTTTGATTGATAAGCAGTTGTTATTTTTTCCATAAATTCCATAAGAGCCATTGATGTGGAATTTTTAGCTCTAAACCCATACTGACTACTACTTAAGATATTATGTTTTTAGATAAATTGATCCAATCTGGTGACAAATAATTTCTCTAAAGTTTTAGAAAACGGTGGCAACAATGATATTAGTCTGTAATTTTTTAACACGTTTCTCACCATTTTTAAAAAGAGGAATTACCTTGGCTGTTTTCATGTTGTCAGGAAATATACCAGTTGGAAATGATAAATTACACATATACGTAAACGGTTCAATCACGATTCATAATATCTTTTACAAGCATCATGTCCATGTCAACCCAGCCTTTTGATCTTTTGTCATCAAGATTTTTTTTTTACCATACTCAATATTTCTTCTTTGTCAGTGTCAACAAGAAAAATACTGTTGGTATAATCTGTAACTGTGTGACTCACTTTATCTACTTTTGGTATTTTTGCTGCAAGACTTGGGCCAGCATTCACAAAAATAATGATTAAATCCATCCACAATTTTCATTTTGGTTGTGAATTTCATTACCATCCTTTACAAAATACTGTGGAATATAAGCTAAGATGTGATTGCAACATGTCCAAGGAACTACCTCAGACATGCAGATATCTTGGTTTTGATGCAGAAGAGTTTAAAAGAAACCCACACTACAAAGTGAAGCAACAACAGTTTCTGCTGTCGAGAACCCTCGCAAATTTGTAAAAGGCTGATAAATAATTCATTGATACTTTTAAGACCAACTAGAAGCTGCTGCTCCATTAGCATTAAACTAACAGATTCAGACTTTTTAAAAACGTGTCGCTTCACAGACTTTAGGATCTGATTTAAACTTATTGTAAATACAAGCTCAAACCTGCAGATTTTATCACACAACTGTAGTGTTTAGTACACCTACACTTCTTATAACAACTGTTATWAGGAAATTCACAGGTTCTTCTGTTTAAGGAAATAAACCACCTTTCTGTGTAAACATGAGACCACACAAATAAGTCAGACTTTAGTCAATGAATTCAAGTTGATCTGGTCATRAACGAGATAATTTATTTATAGAATCGAAATAAATCATTTATATACAACTTATTGTGAACAATCAGATTTTGTTGTGCATTAAAACATCAACCAAAACAGGTAAGCATCCGCACTAATTACTGTCGATATGACTCTCTTCGTTGGACGAAGATGGTGTCTTTTGTCTCTCAAGAGCTCTGTTCCAGGGTCAGTTTCGAAAAGAAAAAGAACACTAAGGAACGTGGCCTCAACGTTTGGGTTAATTAACAGGGAGAATKTGAAGTTTAGTCTAGGCACTGCCATAAGTCTGTTAAAACATCTGCACMAGCACAGAAAAACAAGATCGGACCGTGCTGGGTTCCACCCTTGAGCAGAATTAACACTAAATGACAAGAACTAGTTTTTAATGAAGTAGAAGTGAATTATTTTTAAACTAAGATAAAACTTAAGATATGTGTCTCAAGCACAAATACCCATTTATATTTCATAATAAGACACAGTGAACTAAATCATCGTGATCAATTTAGTTAAAGAAAAGTCAATCAGAAAAACACATAATCACATAACTGTCCAATAACAGTTGATTAAAACAAGGATTTGCATAAAGCAAATAAAGAAACATTGGAACGATATTCTTTTTGTGTGTTCTTTTTTTTGCAAGAAAATAGATTGCCCTTCTTTTCATTATGTAACTTTGATTTATATGTTATTATATATGTGTCATGTGCCCTGAGACAACGCATGTTGTGACTTGGCACTATATAAATAA